TATTTAGGACAATTTCCGAAATTTATAAAGGGTGACAAGTTTATATGAATACGTGATAGAGGAATTAAGAAAGAATAAGGCTGAATTTTATTCCTTGTTCATCGTTAATGTACAATCAGTCGGCTATGCTACGTAAATCAAGGAGAGGAATTGTAGTAGGAGATAAACTACTTAAATACAAAATATTGTTTTAACAAAAATAATAAAACGTGCCTAATATAATAAGGAAGTGTTTGCGATTCCTTGTGCTTTTTAAAAATGATTTTTTTAAAGATTATTGAAAAAGTGATTAATAGTAAAAGTGAGTAGTGTTTGCAAACAGAAGTGATTTTTATTAAAAGGTAAAAGTTGAAATGTTTTGATAAAAAATGATTATTGATGTAATATACAGTTAAAATACAAAGATACCCTTCTCAAATAAATAGAGAATTCAATTAACTTCAAATAAAAAATTAAAGGAAGAAGGAATTGAAAGTTGACGTCCGCCCATTATTTGGCCATCCTTCAGCCGACTGTAAACAGAAGGGAAAATGACCAAAAATGACATTAAAGTTTTTGATGAAGTTCGGATCGGACACTTAGGTTTTAAGTGGACCAAATAAACCCAAATTTAAACTTTTTGGTTCCATTTGAGCCACCCTTTAACTCACCGTTATTTGCTCCGTTATCTGGTTCTATACTTCTATAATCTCTCATCTTCTTTTGCAAATATCAGATTTCAATTCCTATTCTCTAAAGATGCAGATCTTCGTGAAAACCCTAACCGGCAAGACGATCACTCTCAAAGTCGAGAGCTCCGACACGATCGACAACGTCAAGGCCAAGATCCAGGACAAGGAAGGAATCCCTCCAGACCCGCAGAGACTCATTTTCGCGAGAAAGCAACTTGAGGATGACGACTACCCTGGAGGTGGAAAGCTAAGCTCAGACACAATTGATAATGTGAAGGCCAAGATTCAGGACAAGGAGGGGATTCCAGCAGATCAGCAGAGGTTGATCTTTGCCGGTAAGCAACTGGAAGATGGCAGGACCTTGGCCGACTATAACATTCAGAAGGAGTCCACTCTGCACCTTGTCCTTCGTCTCCGTGGGGGTTTCTAAACAGTTTCTTTAGCTTTGTTGTGTTTCATCCAAGTCTGTCTTCCCTTTGTGTCTGTCGTGTCTGTTTAAATAATTGAATTTTCATTTGTTTAAAAACAAGGTGTTTGCAATGTTTCTTTGATTTAGTTTGTTTTCCCAGCAAAAACAAAAAATGCCGCCGGAAAGCACGACTTGGAAAAACACACTGTTCCATACAATTTCCTACATTATTGCGTATCAATCCTTCAAGTTTTTGGAATTTTCTTAATCTTAAAGACAGCTGGTGAAACCCAACGATCCAAACACACTGCATGCCACTTCCATCATCCCTCTTCTTAGGCAATAGTGGGAGGTTTAAACACACTGCCGCCTGACTGGCCTCTACCGGAAACAGAACGCTATCAATCCCCTCTGTATGTGATGGCGAATTTAAGTTTCTTGTTTCTCTTTCTCTTAAATGAAACGTGTCCTTTAGTTTTTGTAGTGCAAGCATCTACCGTCCCTCTCTGAATCTTTTAGTTCTCTACCTACGTGAGCTAGGTTTTAACGTGGAAAGGGGAAGGAAAGGGCGTTAATGAAGGGGAAGACCCATTTAACGGAGTTATTAAAGGGTGGCTAAAACGCAACCAAAATGTTTAAATTTGTGTTTATATGGTCCACTTAAAACCTAAATGTCCAATCCGAACTTCATTAAAAACCTTAATGTCATTTTTGACCATTTTCCCGTAAACAGAATTCAAAAGCCAACCCCAATAGACTCCTCTTTCTCTTTCCAGATTTGGCTCCAAAATATATAAGAATGGAAAGTCTAGGAATTCAGACCAGCGTTGTGCTATTTCTTTAAAGGAATTTTGGGGGTTGGACAAATCCTTCACCCCCTTCTTGCCGGAGTACTGGTAGTATTTCTTTAGTAGAGCTTCCTTGCGTAAATGGGGGAAGATGTTGGTGTGGAGAAACAGAATACTTGTGTCGTGTAGAGAAGAAAGAAGACGGGGGCATTTTGGGTTTTCTTGAAATTTTTGATCTAATAATTATCCCCAAAGTTCCAATTATTTACTAAAATACCTAGAAGCAGTTAGAAGCACCCAGCTTCCAGCTTTTAACCTTAAAGTAGTGATTAATTTAAGCAGAAGCAAGAATTTGAAAACACTACCTTCAACTTTTTTAAGCAAAAAGCTCAAAAGTGTTTTTTTAAAACTCTTGCAAACAGTGCTTAAGATAGATGACACCAACAGAGAACAACCGGCTAACCTATGGGCAGAAGTAGATAGATAAATTGGTTCAAGCTTATGGTAGCATGGAGACGGAACCGGCTAACCTATGGGCAGAAGGAGATAGATAAATTGGTTCAATCTTATGGTAGCATGGAGTTGGAAGAGGAAGATGAAGTGCTCTTGGGGAATGCTATGAATTAAGAAATAATTAGCGTAGGTTTAACGCTAGTGGGTACAATTACATCAGAGAAATTGAGGCAAGGTGAGTATGATGATCTTGGACAAGCCTGCGATCAGTTTGTCTTGAAATTGGAGGAGGAAGGTGAAGTGATATTAATTTGTCCCCTCCAGAGCCGCCGCCATGGAATGGTTGAGCGGTTAGAGTTTGGAAGTCCCTTTTAGTTACTCTTGCATGTTTTAATACAAGTTTTTTCTTTCCAAAAAAAAAGAGGGAAGAGCTTTTAATTTGTGTGGCACCCCTGAAAATTTTAAGAGTTTGTTAAATATTTGCGTCACTACTAATTGATATGACAAAGAGAATAAAAATATAGATTTTAATTTTCTTAATCATATTATTTCATAGTGGAACAATGAGATAGAACAAATACCTCTTCAATTTGAGAGTCACATAAAATTTTAAATTCTCAATAAAACAAACTAGTAATTAATAGACTCCAATATAGTTAGGACTCTTGAAATATAATCAAGGAATTTTATCAATTGAGGACCCGAAAGATAGACAAATTATCAATTCGGGACCTGAAAGATGAAGTGTATCAATATAGGACTTGAATAATGAAGAACTGTCGGTTTAGGACCTGAATGATTGAAAACTATCAATCTATGACCTAGGTTGTCATAAATTTTATAATTTTTCTATTTAAAAATTTTTAAAAATTATTTAGTTTTATTAAAGTAATAAACTTTTGTGAAGAAAAATTTACCAAAAATTAGTAATGGAATTAATAAAAAATTAAATAAATCAAAACCTGTGAAATGTTAGGTCCTAGATTGATAGTTTTCCATCATTCGAGTCATATACCGATACGTTTCATCTTTCAGGTACTGAATTGATAATTAATTTATCTTTCGGATCCTAAATTGATAAAATTCCTACAATCAATTATCCTCTAATCTAAAGGAGCTTAACTTCTCTCCTATAAATAGGGGTCTTCTACTTCTATGTACTACTCTCTTAACAGTATTATTAATATAACATGCTCTTAATTTTCTGTTTATCTCCTTCAATTTCATAACAAACACTAACATTTCAAAATGCAAAAGTTATTGAGGTAGACACTTTGTTTAGATGCCTAGACTGTGTTGCCAAAATCCGGTTGATAGATCATGTTCTGCTATGATATTTGAACTCTTATTGAAAATGATTGCTAAGCACACATGTGCAGAAACTAAACAAAGTCGTCTTTGCAACATAATATACGGAGTATCAAGTATCAATCAATCGAGCTACACTCGTAACAAAACACGTGTGATTAACAAATACCCCGTATACGGTCATTGGGAGCAAAACCGACTCAATTTATTGATTTATCAGAGGGAAATTTTATTTGCAGCCCTCTTTTTACTAAACAGACATTCACATTTCATAATCCCATTTATGCCCTTAAAGCTTAACGCTTCGGTCTGCTCTGATATCCAACACTCCATAGAACTAGGCCGTCAAAATCGGCCGAAACCCGCGGGCTGACCCGTTTAAACCCATTTATTGGTGGGTTAGGGTTGAGAATTCTTGGCCCATTTAGTTCGCGGGTTTAGCGGGTCAGCCCACGCGAGTTGCGGGTTTAAGTGGGTTGGCCCACCAAGTTATGGGTTGGCCCGCGGGCCAAAATACAAAAATATAGTTTTGAATTTTATTATCTAAAATATTGTTCTTTTACTACCAATATTATTATAATTACAATTTAAAAAGTATTATTCTTTTATTTCTATAATAAATATTCAAATAAAATGTTGAAACATATATTTTTTGTGAAGTTCGATACAATATTTAACAATTAGTAGTCATTATTTGCAAATAATTAATTAAAAGTTTTATGTAAATCTTTATTCTTATACAATGAGTATTTTTGTCGCATAGCCTCTTATAGTTTTCAAATTCTCGTATAACTAGTATTTAATATTTTTAATTAAACTTAACAAGTATTGAATTTTTAGTATTTTGATTTCTTATATTTCCTTTGTTACTACTTGCTAATATAAATATATACGTCCGGGTAATTATTTTTTTCAAAAAAAATCGTTTTATATTTTCTTACATTGACCCGCGGGTCAACCCGTTTAACCCACATGTTAGGTGGGTTGGGTTAGGGTTGTAAAAATCATGGCCCATCATTAAACGGGTTGGCCCGACCCAGCCCACATAAAGCATAACCTGTTACGGTTGGGTTGGGTCTGGTTGGCCCGTTTGACAGCTCTACATAGAACGGGCTTATATCCACACACTCCATTCACTTCATGTGCGAACTTTAACTTTTTCATTTCTCCAGCAGCCATCTAGTCGAAAGAGTGCCACCATACAAGACGATCGAATCCATATATATCCACGACCAGCAGGGCCGGCCCAGGGGAGGGAGAACCAGTCCCATTGCACAGGGCCTCACAAAAGAAAAGGCCCAAAAACAAATTTAGTTATACTATTAGGAATAGCCCAAGTCCAAAATAGAGAAAGCTAGCCAGAAACTAGAGAGCCAGCGTCGATGGAACGAGAGGAACGAAGCCTGCTTCAAAGACAATAGGGCAGTCACCAATCCGCAGGCCGCAGCAGTCGACCAAGGCGACCTCCGACCTCCGTGACCTCCGTCTAGGCCTCTGGAGACGCCACCGCAGCACGCCAGTAGTCCAGGCGGTCCAGCACTGCTCCTCCGCCGGCTCAGCAGTCCGCACGTGTTGGTAATTTTACCAAAAACAATCAGCAAAGTTTAAATACTCGTCCAATCAGTTATTTTACCAAAAAAAAATCGGCAAAGTTTAAATACTCTGCAGAATAAGATATGTAAGTGTAGTAGTATTGACTCAACTTTATTTCGTTTAAGCATTTTACTCGAGAAACCACATCTTTATTTTAGCTGTGATGACCTCAGGAAGTTCCCCCAGACAATGAATATGAAAGGCACGTAAGGTCTGAGGTAATTTCTGCAAAGGACATTGGGGTGACTTCTGAAGATATCGGTTCACTGGATGAGACTAAAGAATCACTTCAAGGACTGGTTATGACTCTTAACCACACTTTTCATTCTTACTAATACATTAAAATTCCTTCATATGTTATACATAGTATATAAAACCTATTTCAGTGGCGAGATTACTCTTAACCACACTTCTCATTCTTACTAATTCATTATCATTCATAAATGTTCTCTGGCCAGTTTACAAATTTTCACAAATTGATGTTCTTAAGAGAAGAACATTGGAGCAGCTATTTTGTAGTTCTCAATTACAAAACTCAAACTTTATCATACCAAAAGAACAAAGATGTGGAAAAAGGTCATGCTCTCAGCCTCTGACTCTATAAATTGAACTAAGATTGTAAGCTTTTTTCACACAAGCATTTCAGCTCTGCATAAAAATATCTTTTGATTAAGCAACAACAAAAAATTGCAGCGTCCTTAATGAAATAAGAACATAGTTATAAAAATTGAATATGAGCATTTGATGTTATCAAATACTCTTGGTAAAAACTGATAAACACGTACTCTAAAAAACATAAAATACCCAGCCGAATCAGTGAACGAACTGACTACCTAATGCAAAGATGTGATACTAATTCACACTAAGCCAGTCAAAATTGGATACAAAATATAACAGATTATTTTCAATGACACAAGAATTCATATTATCTGGGTCAGCTTTCCTACTCCAGTTTGCAAGTCATAAAGGACTGACTGCATGGAAGGAAAGTTTTATTAGAAATAAGCATGAAAATGACTGTTTGCATGGATTCAGAGAAATATTTCATATGTCACTACTTCCTAGGTTGGTGTATAACACTATAGCCCTACATTATAATAAAATTTGTTAAACCTATAATAGCTACTGTAGGAATTACTTCATAAGACTGTAGTTTGTTGAGTGTTATAATGATAATAAACACACAACTAGAAGCACAGTTAGCATATTTGCATTATAAAATAGCAGAATGACACAAGTAAATCATACTCCGTATATAACATAATTCATCATGACACTTGGATAAAGCAACAAACTGATGTGATACTAACCTTATGTGGAACTAGGGTATTAAAGGATTCTTGGACTTTCCTGTGTTTCTGACTTTCTTTTTTCTCAGGTCTTATGGCGCTTAAGAGTTAAGAGTTAAGCTGCACTTGTGAGCTGCCCAAGGTTTTGTGTCGTGACCTGTGATGGCACATCCACATTCTTATTGCTTTCGACCCATTAAAAGTGCAGCCCATTGCAATCTCTTATACCCCAGCTCGAGGCAGATACCCAGGCGCCGCATTGTACTTTCAAGCATCAACAAGTTAAATCAAGACCCGAATCTGCAAACGAAGGTGAATCATATCACACTAATTTGGCCTCCTCGAGTTTGGATTTATACTAAAAAATCATACAAATGCTGTCCATTTGAGGAAATTTTACTTATAGTTGATTGATTTCCGTTTCATTGTTAAGGCCAACATCCCAGTTCAAGAATGTTGGCCTTAACATAGAACAAATACTATAATAGGTTAGGAAGCCTTGCCAAAACAATAATAATAATATAATTATGACAACAACAACAATACATATAACACATACACTAATAAGTAATAATAATAATAATTTTAGGATTAATACGTAAGCATGGACAAGTGGTTGTTAGCTGGGAACCATCTTCATCTTTATTTAGTGTTTGTTTGTATGAAATTTGAAGTAATTGCCTAATTTGGTGATTAAATGTAGGATTATAAATAATACGATAGTATATCTCGAAGCACTATACTTGGAACAAGGAACACTAGTACAGTATGGAAGGTCATCTGTGTTTACACTATGAAGAAATGGGCTAATACCTTGTGTCTACTTAGAAATTCATACTTTTTAGTTAGATTGCTCATAAGTTGCAATCTGCAAAAGCGTCCTGCTTGAGAAGATAAAATATTTACTTTTTCCCCCTCAGGAGTCCTCATATAACTTAAGTCAAGATATGCAAGGAATACATAACTTCTGAATTGATTTTATTTTTGGCGGGAAGATATGGTAGCTCACAGGATCCTGGACGATTTCGATCTTAGATTGGGGTTTAGGTTTAATGAAGTTCTGTTTGGAGAAAGAATTTAATGTGAATTGCTAAAATATACCTTTTTCTGTGTTAAAAATCTGATTGGATCGTTACTATTAAATGCTAGGAATGAACTGTAGTTTCTACTTGATTTGCAGGTTGGTTCCTTACTAGATAGCATCAAATGGGACGATAAAGGTTTAGCGGTGGCAATAGCTCAAAATGTTGACACTGGTGCTGTTCTAATGCAAGGGTTTGCCAACCGGGATGCTCTTTTACAAACCCTTTCATCTCGAAAGGCAACATTCTGGAGTCGTTCACGGTCCACCTTATGGACTAAGGGGGAGACCTCTATGAATTTCATAAATATTTGTGATGTTTTTCTTGATTGTGATCGTGATTCTGTAAGTTTTCAAAATTATTTATGGAGGCTATCAATTCAAACATTCATTTTCATGATTCATGACCAAGTAAGAACCTATTTCAGATTATATATCTCGGGAAGCCTGATGGACCAACTTGCCACACGGGTTCAGAAACATGTTATTACACATCTGTGTGTGATGTCTATAAAAATGAACAGGTTTTGTATGCTGAACTACCCTCTGTTTTATTGCATGATTATGAGTGGAAAGAAGTGCGAGAAATGCATTTTTTGTTGTTTAGATGGAGAGAAAAAATAAGGGGAGAATTTATGGGGCAATCCCCGTCTTGACCTTACTATTTTCTTTCTACCTTACAATATCTAGCTAAATTGAGGATATACTCATATAGATGTCTACAAGAAAAACCATCTTCACATTCCCTCCTTTCCCTTCAAACAACTTAAAAATCTACACATTTTCACTTTCTTTCTCTTTTAATTATTCCATGCTCCCACCTTTTAAAATAGACATTTGTGCCTCATTATTTAGTGAAATCGTAACAAAGTTTTCTGTTTATTATTATGAAGATATTCATATACAAAAGCATCTTGTCTGTGCTAGATGGAAGGAAATAAGCTGGCTCTCACATCCTTATACTCATTAGAATCAACAATCTACCAAAGGAAAGATGAACTACCAAGATCTTCAAATGAAAAACCTTCATGGACAAAACGACTATTGCTTGATGATAAATTGCTTTGCTCAAAAATCCGGTATGATGCTTCTCAACCCTCGTAAAATATGGTATTTATTACATACATTCCGAAGTATTTTTACCCAACAAATTTCAACCTTTCTGAGTTGTTACTAATTAAGTGACTATTAGTATATTGGAGACCATGGTACTCAAAATACCAAATGAAATCTCCACACTTTGGACTCCCAATGACTACATCTTTTATCTTTTCTTGCCACAAATGCTCCATCAAGTTTTCAAGCCGCATGTCAATGTGAGCGCCCCATTAGACATGCAGCTGCTGCTCAAGCCTAACAGTCCACCTCCTACCCAAACGAAAAAAGAACACCAAACCCACGACAATTCAATTTGTTGTGGAAGCTTCATCATGGCTAATAAATGATTGAACAAAAATGCTTGAAGACCTTCAATGTGTATAGTGAAAATATTCTTTTTAGAGAACATCTCTTGTTCTCTTTTGGAACAAGGCTTGGTTGTTGTAGAGCATTTTTCTTTTTTATGGGTATTTTGATTTTTTGAGAACCATGGGCAACTCGAAAAGGGTGGGATATTGTGCAAGTAACAATTTTATTCCAAAGGGGTTCCCAAATACTTTCATTGAGAAAAAAATGTGACCTTTTAGGTGATAATTGTTTTTGTCATAAATTATACCCCTTTTTTCTTGGCAGTTATCATCACAGGCTATAGACATGTCAACCTGTCCTCCAAAAAAAAAGAAAGAGAATTGCTTGGTTCTGAACTAAATTGTCTTTAGCTAATGGACACTTAGAGGTTGTTTACATTTTTATCAAGTCTTCTCTAGATTAAGATGACCCTCTAGATTAAGTGATGTGTGTATATATGACTGTTTATGTTTATTTTGTGTGCTGAATAAATAGTCCGAGTTGAGTAAATAATTAATTTAGTATTATTATTGGGTTAAATTGTCAATACGCACTTTGATTTATTAATATGCATCTTTTCCACATCCAGTTTTAAAATGTGGCTGAATAGACGTCTTAATATTTAAGTAATTTTTTTTACTGATCAATAAATTGTGCTTTCATTTAAGTCGTAAGTAAATATATGACTTAATGACAGAAGGATAAGTTGCTACTCCGTATTTTGGAACACGGGTTGAGTACACATAGGCATATATGGTTTCATTCTCATAGGTGGTGCATCATCTATCGCAGGGAGGAGGCAGATGAGCTATGCCGCACTTTGGAGGAAAATGAGGAGAAAGGACGAACTGCATCAGAGGCAGCAGATTTGGTTTATCATGCCATGGTTCTACTAGCCAATAGAGGTGTGAAAATGGAGGAAGTTCTTCAAGTACTTAGGCTAAGGTTCTCACAGTCAGGAATTGAAGAAAAGATCAGTCGACAATCTAAGGGGACTTGACCCGACTACTACTCACTCTCACTTTCACTAGTTTTGGGAGAAATAGATGGATTGGTAGGGGGACACAGCCATTACCTTTATATTTGTTATTATTAAATGACGTGGAAATAATTAAGAGCATATATCATCAGTCATGTTTTTACGGTTGTATCAGATTCCTCACTTCATGGAGGAATCTTCCTCACTTAGATTGTGTTAGATACTTAGATACCTCCATGGTAAAATTGTGTCAGATTGTGTCAGATTCCTCACTTCATGGAGGAATCTTCCTCACTTTGAGGATAAATATTTTTCACTTTAGAAATTTATGCTTGCTAAAAAATTGTACTCCATGGTAGCTTTCCAGTTTCTAACTTATTTTGGGGACTTGGGAGTGCTATTATGCTGGGCTTCATGCTTCATTGCTTCATGCTCAATAAGTTATTCAATAAGTTCAAAAATATATTTTGTTTGACATAGAATTTACCTCAAACTCCAAGTATCTTATAGCTAATCCTCCAACTATGCACTTTCACGGTTTCACCCAACTTACCTTCTATTAAAGAAAGTGTCAATATTAATCTCTACTCGATCAAATTATAGTTTAATCCCTTTTATTTTTATTCATATATTTCCCCTATTTCTCAGAATATTAGTAATTAATGATTTATATTATTTCATAATTTGATGTAGCTTAAATCCTAATTAGTATACTAGCAGTATATATTATGTTTATTCCTTTGTTACTTATTTCTTTTATTTTATCGCATCGTAAAATAATTAATAATACTAAATAATTTATTTAAATTATGTTAATAATTTTTTATCTGGCAGATTATATCTTCTAATTATTTTATTAATTTAAATCGTCCGAGTTATTAACCAAGTCCAATATCCACAACATAATATATAATTCTCGTATTATAATTGGTCGAGACTAGAATATCAAATACTCTTATTAATTATATTAAAATTTAGACTTATTAAATAGTCGGGTCGTTAAGTTGATTTACATGAATTTAATTTGATAAGTAAAATCTGTCTATCTTAATTAAATTTATTAAACACGAAAATAGTTATTATTGCATTATAATTCATTTTATTATTTTAATTAGTCCGTCTAATAGTTTTCTTTAGATTGTACGACATTTCTCAAAACACCAACCCAGACTCTCCTATTAGCAGCGTTTTCATTTCAGCGTTTCCGTCCAAAAACGTTGGTGCGGAATAGCTATTTACCAAATAGCTTTTTCACTTATTGAAAACGTTAAAAGTGGTCAAATCGCCGTTTTTCGGCTAAAACGCCGTTTACCAAACACTCCCAATCAATATACTCCATATAACTTATATTAACATCCTCCTACTCAATCATCATTATCCATATTCTCTATTCTCGTCATTACTTTTTATTCACTTATTTTTTTGGGAGATTTTATTATCATTTATTAATATTGCTATTAGCATCATTATTTTTAGAGCATCCACGTTCATGCTACTGAAATAAACAGATTTTTTAATGACACAAAGATTTTTTTCAAAGTAATCTCATGCCTTCTAAATTACATCAGTCATCATATCAAAATAATAAGATCTTTTGTAGGTCCTACATTCACTAATTAATACTAGTTTCACAATAATCTTGAGATAACATGGATTCATATTTCGATCCCGAATTATTTTTTCAAATAATCTCACAAAATAATCTCCACCACTCAATCATGACCCCAAAAATAATCCGTCACATCATCAACTAAATCCTCTAATAATCCTATGTATGGAGATGCCCTATAATCATTTTATAATTAATGACCTGTCCGACAGCTTAACTACAAAGGTTAGTTAAGCTTTGTAACATGTTTCTTCCATAATAACATGTCAAATGCATTCTTGGTTGTACACATGGAAGCCTGATTTCTCCCTGTTTTATTACATTAACTAATCACACTAGCAAATAAATTGCCCTGTTTCAAACTAATGACATCAACTTAATGCACATTTTCAAATAAAGGATTTTGTGATGTCCATTCATTATGGATCCAACACCTCTACATTGCCGATATTCGAACCCGAGACCTAACCCTTGTGGAACTCCCTCACTACCACACTTTCCAAATGTTACTCGATGTCGAACATTTTCACTTTTATATCTTTTTTTTTTTTTTTGTAAAAAAAGCTAGCTAAATTATTGGAGTTTTTTCCTAATTGATGTTAAAAAAATTATTGACCAAATTATGATAAAATTTAAAACATTTAGCAAAATACTGGTTTAGTTTGAATCATGGTTAGCAAAATTCTCATGAAGTGGCGACTTTAGTTTGAATTCGGAAACAAGGCAATTAGGCAAGTATGCGCTATTGCGCTAAGGCGCTTGTCAAAAGAAGGCAATCATAGATTCATGGGTAGGAGAGATGGTAAGGTTAAAAATTCTTATTCCCTCTGTTCCAAAAAAGGCTGATCAAATTTGACTTTCACGTGAATTAATTAATAAAGTAAAAACTGTGTGGTTGAAGTTTGTGCAGATGAGAGAGAATTAATTTTAGCCACATATTCCTTACTTTAAATGGAAATGACAAATCTTTTTGAGATATCTAAAAAAGGAAATTTGGTTAACCTTTTCGAGACGAAGGGGTATTTTTCTTTTAAGTGTCATAACTTTTATATTTTTATTACAAATTTTATATTTTTTTTTGGAAAATCCCAAAATGATAATTGGAAAGAACCTTATGAGATAAATAAAGTATTATTTTTTATATGACATCAATATTGCATATACAAAATTTAAAGAAACATGAAAACCATATTAGTTTTTTCAAAGGATCATATTAGTTAAAAAGGGTGGTGGCAATCATACTCAATCAACAAACCTAATCATAAGCTAATGTTTTTTTACAAAAATCCAAAGACATGATTGAGATTGCTTTTTAGGTCCAAACTGCTAAAATTAAGATATGAAATGAAAGAATATAGATTCATATATTTTCTAGGGGTGAGCATGGGACGGTACGGGACGGTTATTTAAAAAAACCTGTCCCGTCCCAAAGTACGGTTCTTTTAAAAATCAAGAACCGGTACCGTCCCGCGTATATGTAGAACCTGTCCCGTTCCGTACCAATTTTCGGTACAGTCCGGTACGGTTCTTAAATAACTAAATAACCCCCATGAAATATAAAAAACTTTAGATTTTAACATTTATAAATAACTCTACAAAAATTGAAGAGAAGAACTTGCAAGATTATATTAAACTGATATTGTGTGATCAAATTGAAATATGAAACTAATAGTCAAACTATATTAAAGAAAAGTAACATCCAAATTAAAATGCAAAAGTGATCATCAAACTGAAAAACCAAAAAGTATCACATCACATGACAAATATAATCAACTTAATAATCCATATTTGAGCTAGACTAAATTTGCCAGAATTCTAGGCAATGTCATCAGCCATCAGGACCTCGGGGCGATTTCTGTCAACAATCAATATTAAGCCTTGGCATCAGGGATATGTTCTGCCGTTCTTCACTTCTGGACTTTTTGGTCTACTAGAGGATATGTTGCTGAGTGCATGTTGCCGAATGCCAATTAGGTTTAAGAGTTTTTGTTCTATTTAAGTGGCATTAGTATTGTTTTGGTTTTAATAATTTTATTGGGCCCAAAGAAGATGTAAGAGTAATATACAACCAATTATACTCAGTATATAATATATTATACATATTATTATATTATATATAATATATTATTATATTATAACACTAGTTTTCGGGACAATTCGGGACGGTACGAGACGGTCCAGTTTGGTATGGTTCCGGGACGGTTCCGGGACGGTTTTCACTAAGAACCGGTACCGTACCATATTACTAAAAAAGCTCGGTACGGTACGGTACGGTATTACATTTTTCCGGTTCTATCGGTTCTGGAACGGTTCGGGACGGTTCTTCGGTACGGAACGGGAATTCCCAGATCCGTGCTCAGCCCTAATATTTTCTTTTATTAAATGAAATGTAACAAATAAATTTGACATTCTTTTACAAACAAATTTATAAAAATACTTGGGAAAAGGTGCAAATAGGCCCATGTACTAACAAAAAAAGGTCAAATAAGGCCTTATTTAGGAGACTCTGTCCGGCCGTCGTCATTTGGGGTGGTTTCCGGTTGATTTTTTTGATGAATTTTTTTGAACATCCTATTCATCAAGTCTAGTTTACTCATACCAAATTTCAGCTAAAACTTCAATCGGGAAGGCATTCAAATGAATTCTTGAAGATAACTGTGCTTCTAACTGCGCATTTATTTTCAACAATTCATTTGAATGCCTTCCCGATTGAAGTTTTAGCTGAAATTTTGTATGAGTAAACTAGACTTAATGAATAAGATGCTCAAAAACATTCATCAAAAAATTCAACCGGGAACTAGGGGTGGGTTCGGTTCTTGCGGTTCGGTTTTGACCTAAAACCAAATATAGAATTAAAGTAAAAAGTTCGGTTCGGTTTTGGTTCGGTTTTACACTCCAAAACTTGGAACCACGGTTTGATTGGTTCGGTTTGTTTCGGTTTCGGTGTTTTCGTTTTTTTACCAAAAAATTATCACTTGATTCAAAATTGATATAATACTTAGAGGGATCAAACATATTACATAAAGAATGCAAGCACAATACAACGACAAATAAAATAAAAATGAGAAGAGATAAATATGTCTTGAATTATATGAGTATGCGAGATAGATAAAACTGTATATATTATATATTTAATTTGTTTGTGAGTAGTTCGAAAAAAGTTCATGAATATATACATTCTATACTTTTATGTGATATAGTTGAGATGAATATTTATTGTTTTATCAATATAAATCTTTAAGTTATCTAAAAAAAGTTAATTACTACTAATAACTAGTAACCACATATTATTATCATTCAATATAGCTACATTATTACAGACAATGAATGTGTAAATGAATTTATAAACTAAATTAAATTAAACATAACACAAACATTATTTTTCTAACACAAGAAAGCCAAAGACTATTGATGATATTAAGATTAATTACAATTAATGCCTAACAATTAAATTATAAATTTCATATTTTAAATAATTCGGTTTGTTCGGTTCGGTTCGGTTTTGAAGGGTAAAAACCAAAACCGAACCAAACAACTTCGGTTCGGTTCGTTTTTTTACATTCGGTTTCGGTTTCTTAGCGGTTCGGTTTTATTTGGTTGCAGTTCGATTTAATTTGATTCGGTTTTCGGTTTTCGGTTTTTCGGACCCAGCCCTATCGGGAACCACCCCAAATGACGACGGCCGGACAGAGCCTCCTAAATAAGGGTTTATTTGACATTTTTTGGTTAGTACATGGGCCTATTTGCACCTTTTCCCAAAATACTTCATACACTATTTTACGTGTAGAATTTGGCCATATTTGACAGCTAGACTGAAGCATGG